CATATTGGCGCTGTGCAATTTTCCAGTTCCGGTTTTGTTATGTTAGTGCATCAGTAGAAGAAGAATCTGACCCATGGCTCACAGCAAGGCCTTTTCCTTTAAAGGGTTAGTTCACCGTTCCAGTAAAATACACCTTGTAGTCAATGCCTCAGTATGTTCAAAAGCACTATATTGTGCTTAAATAGTCACACCTTGATAGCTACATGAAGCCGGGGCGCGAGAAACAAGTAACTGTGCCCTGTCCTGTCACCAGGGCATTTTAAGCATTGGACCCAAAAGCACAGCAGTGAGCATTTCCTTTGTTTAAACTCTCTCTTTCCATCTCTCACAGCACTGTTGAGCTTAGCCACTGCTGCCAGAGAGGGAGAATGTGAGCGCATTGCACGTGCATGGGGGTTTACACAAGGAGAATGCTTGCTCCTGTGATGCTGGGGATCAGCATCCATTTAAAGTATTCCAGCAAAGGGACAGCACTAGGAACAGTTACTGAAAGAGTTTTTCGGACAAGCTTCAGGTGCTCATGTCCTACAAGTATGGCTATTTAACTAAGCACAATATTTCAAAGCTTCATAGGGTTTTCTTTTTTAACATTGAACTGTGAGCTAACCCTTTAGGAATCTTAGATAGATTGCCTATGTTTGGGATTACATGGCCAGTCCACTGGGATTGGTTTAACTGGATCTGGACTCCAGTTGTTGAACAAGTAGGTAGTAAACAGATAGTGTCCCTTATGAACAAAACAACACTTCAATGTCCAGATTATACCTGTTGTGCTTTATGCACAGAAAAACGGTCAAGCTTGCAAGTTTTCTGAGGATACAATGAGGCATGATAAAGGAACGGACAATGGGAGTTTGAAGATGGCACAACAAATCTGTTATATTCTAATATGGACTCAGGTCTTTTTTCAGCCAGCTTTACACTATGCTCTCAGGGGACTTGGCGAAGACTCCATATCAAAATGTCACTAACAATTCCTGCCAGTGTCACACCAGCCTCACTAAGCACACTCCTCCCTTCCAGTGTCACACCGGCCTCACTAAGCACAGTCCTCCCTTCCAGTGTCACACCAGCCTCACTAAGCACAGTCCTCCCTTCCAGTGTCACACCGGCCTCACTAAGCACACTCCTCCCTTCCAGTGTCACACCAGCCTCACTAAGCACAGTCCTCCCTTCCAGTGTCACACCGGCCTCACTAAGCACAGTCCTCCCTTCTAGTGTCACACCGGCCTCACTAAGCACACTCCTCCCTTCCAGTGTCACACCGGCCTCACTAAGCACACTCCTCCCTTCCAGTGTCACACCGGCCTCACTAAGCACACTCCTCCCTTCCAGTGTCACACCGGCCTCACTAAGCACACTCCTCCCTTCCAGTGTCACACCAGCCTCACTAAGCACACTCCTCCCTTCCAGTGTCACACCGGCCTCACTAAGCACACTCCTCCCTTCCAGTGTCACACCGGCCTCACTAAGCACACTCCTCCCTTCCAGTGTGTCACACCGGCCTCACTAAGCACACTCCTCCCTTCCAGTGTCACACCGGCCTCACTAAGCACACTCCTCCCTTCCAGTGTCACACCAGCCTCACTAAGCACAGTCCTCCCTTCCAGTGTCACACCAGCCTCACTAAGCACACTTCTCCCTTCCAGATTCACACCAGCCTCACTAAGCACACTCCTCCCTTCCAGTGTCACACCGGCCTCACTAAGCACAGTCCTCTTCCAGTGTCACACCGGCCTCACTAAGCACACTCCTCCCTTCCAGTGTCACACCGGCCTCACTAAGCACACTTCTCCCTTCCAGATTCACACCAGCCTCACTAAGCACACTCCTCCCTTCCAGATTCACACCAGCCTCACTAAGCACAGTCCTCCCTTCCAGAGTCACACCGGCCTCACTAAGCACACTCCTCCCTTCCAGTGTCACACCGGCCTCACTAAGCACACTCCTCCCTTCCAGTGTCACACACCGGCCTCACTAAGCACACTCCTCCCTTCCAGTGTCACACCGGCCTCACTAAGCACACTCCTCCCTTCCAGTGTCACACCGGCCTCACTAAGCACACTCCTCCCTTCCAGTGTCACACCGGCCTCACTAAGCACACTCCTCCCTTCCAGTGTCACACCGGCCTCACTAAGCACACTCCTCCCTTCCAGTGTCACACCGGCCTCACTAAGCACACTCCTCCCTTCCAGTGTCACACCGGCCTCACTAAGCACAGTCCTCCCTTCCAGTGTCACACCAGCCTCACTAAGCACAGTCCTCCCTTCCAGTGTCACACCAGCCTCACTAAGCACAGTCCTCCCTTCCAGTGTCACACCGGCCTCACTAAGCACACTCCTCCCTTCCAGTGTCACACCGGCCTCACTAAGCACACTCCTCCCTTCCAGTGTCACACCGGCCTCACTAAGCACACTCCTCCCTTCCAGTGTCACACCGGCCTCACTAAGCACACTCCTCCCTTCCAGTGTCACGCCAGCCTCACTAAGCACACTCCTCCCTTCCAGTGTTACACCGGCCTCACTAAGCACAGTCCTCCCTTCCAGTGTCACACCGGCCTCACTAAGCACAGTCCTCCCTTCCAGTGTCACACCAGCCTCACTAAGCACAGTCCTCCCTTCCAGTGTCACACCGGCCTCACTAAGCACACTCCTCCCTTCCAGTGTCACACCAGCCTCACTAAGCACACTCCTCCCTTCCAGTGTCACACCAGCCTCACTAAGCACAGTCCTCCCTTCCAGTGTCACACCGGCCTCACTAAGCACACTCCTCCCTTCCAGTGTCACACCAGCCTCACTAAGCACACTCCTCCCTTCTAGTGTCACACCGGCCTCACTAAGCACACTCCTCCCTTCCAGAGTCACACCGGCCTCACTAAGTACAGTCGTACCTTCCAGTGTTACACCGGCCTCACTAAGCACAGTCCTCCCTTCCAGTGTCACACCAGCCTCACCAAGTACAGTCCTCCCTTCCAGAGTCACACCAGCCCCACTAAGCACAGTCCTCTTGTAGCTTCACACCAGACACTTGCCACACAAACCACCTTCATTACACACATAGACCTCTGCTGGGGTTATATAAATGTTGACTGCAAAGCCTTCCACACAATTGAAAAAAAGTCTGTTATAGGAAAAAAAAAAATGTAAGCTACCACTACTGCCAGGCACCTGACAATGCCATTACTTGTCTGGCTGTTATGTAAATCCACCATTTTAAATCTTTTTGCCTGTTGTAGACCCAGATAAACAGGTGAATCAAGTTTTTTGACTTCTGGGACAGTAACTCAGATTAATAATGGAAACCTGTGAGGATACCAAAATAGCAGTGAATCACTGGAGACGTGGTGCTTATAAAAGGTCAGGCTTTGAGCCTCAATTGTCTACACGTTTAATCACTGACCTGAAGCCAGTATGCATGACTTCAGACTTCAATGGCCAGAGGCTTGTTCTAAGGTAATGGCTCACTAGGTAATATGGAAAGGAGAAGGGTGACAGCCTTGCAGCAAGCACCTTTAAGGAAGAAGTAGTACCGGCACAACTTTCTGTTTGTGTTGTAGCTCCACCCTAGACTGAAGCACAATTTATGGGTGTTGCTATGGGGGAGCTACAGCACAGCACATATCCCCTGAACATAGAGCGCGCATTTGAGAGATATAGCCCTGTATGCGAATACCACTCAGAACAGCATAAAGCAGCTGCGTATCATTGATTTTGACATACAGCTGACTGTACACTGCACCTGTACCTCTGGGGTTCCCAAAAAAGTCCAGTTTTTATGCTGTGCAGGCAAAAACCACCTACATGCCTAAGGCAGTACACATGAACAGACAGATCAAACAGCCCCATAGCCCCGACTGGGTGTGCACCTGCTGCCAGAGACGAGCACTGTCTATCAGCCCTCATGAAGTGAAGTTCATCACCTTACTAGCAGAGTGGTCAGACAGTGGGAGGAGAAGGTGAGGCAGGCTGACTGATTATGCTGCTCCGCAACCACAGGAGAAGTCAGAACCAGGTGCTAAATGCACTTGGACCTCTGGGGGGGTTAAAAAGAAGGGGTTAAAACAAGTCAGTGATGGCACCTCCAATATTTTTCTGCTTATGGAATTCCTTTAAAAATGGAAATAGCCAAACATTTTCAGAAGGTGGTCAGAAATAGTAGCTTTGTTATTATAATATCATGACTGGTATCCTTTAAAGAATTAGCTATTATTCACATAGTATACTCTGGTGTTTATTTACTATACTGGAGAGTGCAAAAATCTGGTGCAACTCTGCATTGAAACCAATCAGCTTTCAGGTTTTATTGCCAAAGCTTAATTGCACAAGCTGAGCTTAGAAGCTGATTGGCTACCATGTACAGCTGTACCAGATTCTGAATGTACCAGTCAACCAATAACTCTACCCTATTATCATGAGAATCATATAAATAACACATCCTGTGGTTAAAGGGGTTTACCTCCCAGCTGTAGGAGATGTCAGATACCCACTGACAACCATTTACATGACACTCTCATCAGAACTCTTACTGACTCATAAAAGCTGAAAAGTGACTAGCATAGTCCCTACGTAAACATCAAGCAGGAGGTGTTGAGTTATAACAATCATTGGAGGCATCTAGCACCTGTTTCAAGAGCTCAGTTGAGCTAGAGGGTGAAAAGCTTTAGATTTTATAGGAAAAAAGATATACTAGTATTTCCTTTTCTCTAATATAGTTAAAAGAATCCAGCCTCTCCCTGGCAGGGTACCTCAATAATGTTGTTATCCACGGGGCCAGTGGTGCTGTCAATATGAACGTTGGGGGTGGAGGTGGAGCGATGCCGTTGCAGGGGTTGACCCTCGCTGGGAAATGAAAAGGAAGCAGCTCCAGGGTGCTGTGTCCGGGGGCTGCGGGAAGGGAGAGATGGAATGGGGTGGGCACCAGGGACATCAAACAGAAATGGCACAGAAATGAAGAGGAGAAAAGTTGTGACAGGATAGAAGAGGAATTGGTGGGTCTTGTTACCTGGTGGATGGCTGCGGGGTGTAGGGTTCATGGATAATGCCAGGGGAATGATCAGGGTAGAACGAGAAGTCCGGAAAACTGCCTGCCGGCCTGGAAAGGGACACACAGTGTGTTATGAACTTGTACCCCGTATCTCTCAGATGTCCAAATATGTCTAGTGACAGTTGTAGGAAATTGTAGGTTAGGCCTGATCCCTACTTACTTGGGCAGTTTGGCCATGTCCACACAGGCAGTGGGCACTTTACTGCTGCAGTGCTGGTGAAATTTGTAACCGCATGTTTGACAGCGGAAACCGTTGAATAGGAATTTTAGGCAGAAGTCACAGAATGCCAGGTTAAAATGTGTTTTCCTCACCTGTGAAACAGGAAACAAATGTAGGTCATTAGGACGAATGAGTTAAGAATACAGAAAAAAAAAAGACAATTAAAAGCACCTAATGATTACTCACAAAATTGTGCATAGATAGAGGGACATCAGCGAGAACCTCCACCATCAACTCCTCACCTACCAGTGGGGTGATATCCGTCTCCCAGTCTGTTAAAGTTTTTCGCCTGCATTACAAAAATTAGAAGCTATTTAAACAAAATACTAGTAAGAGGGTTATAAATGTCTTCCATTTGTGGTCATACAAATGGCAAAGTAGTAACATGGCTGACTGCAGGTTGTGCAAGTTTGCTTATGCAGAAATAAATTTACTCAATGAAATGAAAGTATTTGTTATGCATTAGAAACCCAGGTCAGGAACAAGTGTCAGAATACGGCGCACTTGTTTCCTGATTTCACATGTGGTCTGCGTGCTTCCACGCCATCATCGTCACAGTGTATGACACATACAAACAATAGTTTTAATAAAAGGGGGATTCTCTGCCCAGGAATCAATGCACTAGTGTGGCAAATACACAGAAAAAATGTTGCAGTGACAGACACTGCTAAATAAGAGGCAGCCTGGTTTGCGCATAACAGTGTTGCTAAGTTGCTTGAGAAATGCCCCCCAGCTATGTTGCTGTCATGCCCTTAAAAAATGTCAGAACGGCCCGGTTGGCCAGGTTGGCTCTCCATACGCCGGGATGCTCGGTATGCCTTGCTTCATTGTCCCATACCGGGCCTCTTGGCTCATCAGCAGAAGTTGGCTTCCTATTTGTTTTTATCAGCCACTAGAACAATTGCTCAGGCCTGGAAGAGTCCGTTTGTCCCTCTTCAGGGGGTGCGGGATCGTATGACCACTATGATGCTCAACGAACAGATGTCGAGTATCCGCAACGACTCCCAACATACATTTTTTAAAATATGGGAGCCGTGGTTGCAATATGCCTTTCCCACGCTCTCCCTGGCTAGTCTGGGGATGTAATGGCATTCGGTATTGGCGCTCTTGGACCCCTGCCCTTTGCCCCCCCTTTTTTTTTTCTCTTTCTTCCTTTCTCTCTCTCTCTGTTTTTGGTGTGACTGGACAGCTGACTTTAGTTGTTATAGTCAGTTACATAAATGTTTTGTAACTTATGTGCCATTGATAGCCCTTGCGTGGGTGTACTTTTTGCCCTGTTGGCATTGGAGCACTGTCTTTCCCTTTTTTTTTTTATTTCTTTTTTTTGCATTTTTTTTATCTGTGCAATTGATAGCCCCTGCATGGGCGTGTTTTATTGCCTCTGTTTTATACTGTTTAAAAAATGTATAAAAACCATTGAAATAGAAAAAATGTCAGAACAGTACAAGCTCAAAGCAAGTAACAAGGGTTCCTGCAAGTACCATTATTAAGCACTAAAGCTTCTTCTAGTTGCCCAGGAAGACCCCTGAACTCAAGCCTCTGTCCCACTGAATGGGGGGCAACCATGGCAGGGAACGACATCACAGGAAAATCTCACAGCCTTTACATAGTGCATGCCTTAGATTTACAGCCATGACAGGTTTAATTTAATCAAGTTACTACAAAACAATAGTGTGCAGTAACTTTGGCTGTCAATCAAATAATGTTTCAGAAGAGAAGAAGCAGCTATATTCTTATTGGTTTCTTGGCACGAGGTTGGGTATGGGGGTGGGGAATCAGTTGCATGTGAACAGCATTACATTCTACAAATTCTACAAAACAAGGTGGACATTTTATGTGCTGATCAAACAGTATGCTTATCTATTCACAAAATGGCAGCTGCTGCTGTAATAGGTAGCAGGTGCTCTTTAACATCATGAAGAGTTTCTTCAGACCTCAGCAGAAAATAAAAACAAAATCTGCTGCAGCTTGGCATTGGGGGGGGGGGGGGGGGGGGGGGGGGGGGGGGGGGGGGGGGGGGGGGGGGGGGGGGGGGGGGGGGGGGGGGGGGGGGGGGGGGGGGGGGGGGGGGGGGGGGGGGGGGGGGGGGGGACATAACCGGCTCCTAACCATATCTATTTCTAAGTGATGTAGAATGGGGTAATGATGCCAAGCTTCACATGTGAAGGGAAACAGGATTTCAGCTGACATATGCCCAAGCTCGCTGCTAAACGCACATGTAAAAAAATTGGTGGAAGATTGCTTATAAGCAAAAAATAAATGTGAAAGCAAAGGAAATTGTACCTGTTGCCCATAGCAACCAATCACACTCATCTTTCCAGAGCATGTGAGAGAATAAAAGCGAACATCTCATTCACTGATAATAGCTGCAGGTCTAGGGCAGTCTTTGCTGCAGAAAATAAGATTTTTGTACTGTAAATCCTTTCCTATTGAAAGGGCCTTGAAATCTTAAACCTTTGGGTTACATTGGCACCTACTGGAAGATTGGATATGGCAAACAAACTGTAGACCAGCCCAGGAAGAACCTACAAGTTGGAACAGGAGTCCTTCAATGGACGCAAAGTTAAAAATTTCATGGCGAGTACAAAAATCTATTTCTTTTTCATCCGCAGAGGGATAGAGGAAGTGCTAAATGTTCAGGACATTCAAAAACAGCCCAACTGAGGAGTGGGCAATTCAGCAAACAACCATAAACTGGCACAAGAAAACAACAGAAACTGAAAATGCCTACAGCTCACAGAAGCATCTGGAGTAGCCTATGCCCAAAGCTGGCACTGGATAAGACTGGAACTTCCATCTGATGGAACTTAGATAATGTGTGAACAGAAGACCAGGTGGCAGCAGTTTGATAACGTGCTGGTGCACGAAACGCGTTAGAGAGGAGCCAGGGTGTGACGTCACGCCACTCGGGCCACATGTTTGAGGCCAGCAACCATCTTTGATGTCCTTTCCCCACTGAGTTTTTTATGCTGTTTTATGTGGCAAATTCATAATAAATACAACACTAATAAGAACATTTTGTTTTGGCTCGTTTTATTGCGAGCCCTCCTTCAAGGTGGATTTTGCTGCTGTTTTGTACCTGCCTTGGAGAGAGGTCCCCCTGGTGGCTATATATGATACCATGGTACAAGGAGTGTGATCCCCCTAGTGGATGGTTGAGTGATTGCTGATCCCTGGAGGCAGATGACCCTGCAACTACTTGTCCTGCTGTGGTTGGCCAGTTGAGCTGTGGATATTCATCCTTCCGTTACCAGAGGACCAGGAGTGGTTTAAAAACTAAAATAAGCATTTGTTTGCGCTATCTGGTTAGTGCAATCTACATCTATATACACATCACCAGAGTCACAAATTGCACCTTTTTACGGATTTGGGGACCTATATGCTTATTTATTACATTCTACTATTGGAGTTCACCATCTGCACAATTATAACGTCCTTAGACACTCATTGCACATGATTTCGATCATAGCGTTCTACAGCGCTGTTATACCAATTTCCATTATCTGTGTGTTTAACCTATAGCGCTGCATATCTTTGATTGTATTTAGGAAGATATAGAGGGTTTTGCCTTTATGTCAGCTGCTTATTCCCTGTACTACCTAGTGCTCGTATACCTTTGCTATTGTTTAGGTGGCAGCAGTTGCTGATGCTGAAAAGCCCAAGAGGCACTCACAAATCTAGTAGACTGAGTTTTAACAGTAAAAGAGGGAATCTGATCTCTAAGGCCATAGGCTTGAATAATGGTCTTCGTAAGCGACGTAGAACTAGTGGAATAGGCCTTGATGCTTTTTGAGGCCCATTCAGAACTAGAAAAGGGAATCAGTCTTTCTGAAAGAAACAGTGGCCGAGAGATATCGCACAGACCAATCCACATCCAGACAATGGAAAGAAATTTCCTTTTAATTAACCAGAGAAAGAAACAGGAGAACAATATCCTGGTTGGTTTGAAGGACAGAAACTACCTTAAGCAAGTTCATCTTGTACCTGTGCAAGATCAAAAATGACTCAATGCAAGATAAGGCCGTGTTTCTGACACAACCCTTGTAGAAGTGATGGCTTCAAGGAAAACCACCTTGTGGATGTGAGTAGAGAGATATAAATATCTCTAATGGGTCAGTTTCTGAAACTCTTAGAGAACCAGAACCAGATTCACATTCCATGGAGACTAGGAGGAGCAGATAAAGAGAACCACATGGCAAACCTTCTGTACAAAGGTCCTAATCTAACAATAGGAGGCCTACCTATTGCTTCAGCTGGACTTCCCTCATGGAAAGGGACATTGTTTAGCTGAATGCTTGTATACTTACAACCTGGATGTTCATGTTGAAGTAAACACTTTGAATTTGAAACTTGACGCTCTCTGTTTTGCTGTATGCCATTCTGAAGTAAGCAATAAAAACGTATATTTCCCAAAAAGAATAAGAGGCCAACCACTGCTGAGATAGAATGTAAAAGACAGAAAGCTAACCCTTGACAGAGCAAAGTAAGACATACAAGTCCAGACCCAGCTGCAGGAAGGAGATGATTCTTCCAGCAAAGAAACTCCTGGGGTGAAAGCCCTAGATTCACACTAAGTGAAGCAAGCCTTCCAATGAGAGATCTTGCAGCAAGTAGCCTTTTTAGCTTTGAGCATCATAGGAATCCCAGACTTGGAGATGACCCTTATGACCTAGGCTCAAACAGCTATGACGTTGAAACCAGAAGCCATGAAGCAGGCAAATTGGCAAAAGATCCACATGCTTTGGTAGGGTCTACGATGCATTTGCCAGGACGTGTACCAGATCTGGGTACCAAAATTGCCTGAGCTTATCTGGATCAATCACCAGAAGGCCCTCCATCTCAGTTTTGCAAAGCAGATGTGGACGACAATTCAGGGACAGAGTTGGACAAGCTGGTGCAAAAGAAATGTCTTGGAGGCCTTGGGAGTCTTAAATGACTCAAGACTTGAAACAGTACAGGTAGAAGCAATAGACTGATCCCAAGTTTCAGAGTGTTGTGCACTACATCAAATGAAACAGCCTCCTTTAATTTGGGAATATGTGTGACACTTGGATTAAGCTGATTATTTTAAAGCAGTATTATACACAAAAACCAAAAAATGTAATTGCAGGTTGCCAATCCTTAGATGTGATGTCTACATTTGTTTTCTTTTTTTTTTTGTTTTAGGCTTTTTTGCTTCAGTTTTCAACTGATCTGACCAGTAACACATCTCCGGTATTACAGTGCTCCCACTCTGGATGAAGGAGCACAGTGGCACCTTTGAACAGCAGCATTAACAGTGTGGTGGAAGGGCAGTGTTAGATGTACCAGCAGATTTAGATATATTAACAAGTTGAAGCTACACTCCAGCTCACGCTCTAGTTACACAAGCAGTTACAACATCAGTTTTTTCTCCTTTAGGGATAAATGTTTTACATGAATAAATAACATTTGTAAGCAAAGCATTGTAAGCACCCCTGTCAGTGGTAAATGGTTTGTCTTAATACTCTAACTGCTAGATCTATAGGAAAGCTTGTTCTGTTGCAAAACAACAGACTTACTGGTTCAATCACCAGATGAAAAAAAATCAACAAAAGCCTAAAAAATAAAACTAATGCGGCCATCACATTTAGGAAATAGTAAACTGCAATATAATAAAGGTTTGCTTTTGGGTTTAATACCACTTTAAGGATTTGAGAATTTTAGAATCAAAGTCTCTGTGATTGATGGCTCAGAAGCCACTAAGCCATGTGTAAATGATACAGAGTATCTACTGGAAAGGACACAGAAGTTTGCTTGTGGCCTGTGCAATCGGAGTAAGCAAAAGAATGGGTAATCTGGCTCATAAAATCTTGCATGACCATGGAAAAAACCCCAGCTGAGAGTACAGAGGACCCAGTCACACCTGACGGAGCTAAGAAGGACTCCAAGGAGGGGAGAGACTCTGACATCAGAAACGCATGACTCCAGGCTGCAGAAGTCTGCACCATTGGTAGGTGTGCTGTAAGCAGCCACAACCAATTAGTGGAAAGTTAGCTGGGGGCACCCAATACAGCGGGACTGCTCCCCCATGCCAAGAATCAGAAACGCTGTGGCTGTAGATCAGTTAGGCAATGTAAATGTTGTGGCCAGAGAGTGGGAAGGCAATATATAAGCCCAAGGTAGCCATGTAGCATACAGTCTAGTGGGATCTAGGTGTAGTACGGTACAAAAGCCAGGCTGAGCATGACCCCCTAGCTGCCAGATAGCTGACGAGTAAACAGTCTTCATTGAAGAAAAATTAAAGAAAGCATGCTGGTAAAATAATAGGTTTAAGCTGAAGAAAAGGTCTCCACTAGCAGAAAACAGAGGCTGGAACTAGCATAGGGTATGGATATCCTGGACTGGCCTACAGTTTTTTTTTTGTTTGACAGTGTCCAATCCTCCTGTAGATGGCTGTATAACCTGAAAGTTAAAGGCTTTTTGGTCCTTCAATGCACAAAAAAGAAAACTGGTTAAATTAAAGAGGATATTGTAATAAAACAATGGTCTGTTTTAATCATTACAGATGACTTATCAAAGCGTACCAGTAACTATGCAGATAACGACATGCTGTTTAGGAGAATACCTGGGGTATTTAACTTTTTTTTTTGATGACCTGATCAACAGTCTCAATTGTATAACAAAAGAAAAATTAATTTAAAAAAAGGGTTTTAACGAAAAAGAAAATTTAAGGTAAGGCAAACTTATGGTTTTTGTACACTGGCATTTCTTTGCATTGAAGCTGCTGTTCTTTGCCATCCATGTCAACATCAATTCAAAATCAACTCCATGAGCAATCCATATCCAAACTTAAGCAAACCCAAAACCTTTACATCTAATGCCTGTGCTCATGAGAACTTAGGATAAGGATCTTCCATGAAATGGCAATTACAGGAGGTTGAGAAAGCTTAGAAGAATCCAGTCATTTTCCCTGAGATGATGTGACATCCATATTTTAGAGCAAACCTGGGCAAGGCAACCAATTCATCAGCTGCTAAAAAGCAAAGAAAGGAATTCCTGTGAAAGGAATCCCAGCTCCTCTATACCTGCAAGCATTCGGTATTTAATTCTCTCTCAATAGCTGAAGCGAATAAAAGGAGAAGCAAAGGAAATGTGTATATGTGCTACTAGGGAGGGGGTTTTAAAGAGAACCTGTTGCATTACTTTAAAGGTTCTTTAGATACAGACACTACAGGAAACGATTTGTTATACTTAAAACAGTGCTGCAAAATTATTGAGCTGCAACACAAAATAAAAAAATATATATAACATGACATCAAAAGGTCTCAGTTCCTTCCTTTTTCTAACTAAAACCAACTCAGCTATGAGATGTTGAAGAGAAAGAACACACTTAGGAAGAAACATTCAAATCTCTCTACATGCTGTAACAGTTACTTACAGTGTAAACATTTTACTCTTAAACAGTTTTTAAATTCATAGTTTGAATTATTTTTACACGTAAAATAAGTGTTAACAAGTCATCTACACTCACCGGCCACTTTAATAGGTACACCCTGCTAGTAAAGGCTTGGACTCCCTTTTGCCTTCAGAACGGTCTTAATTCTTTGTGGCACAGATTCAACAAGGTGTTGGAATTAGTATAAGCATTACCCTGCTAGATGTAGCCATCAAAAGATGGGTATACTGTAGTCATAAAGAGATGGCCCTTCTCCTCTGACATCAACAAGGCTTTTTCATCCACGCAACTGCCACTCATTTTCAGATCATGCTCTGTAAACCCTAGAAATGGTTGTGCATAAAAATCCAAGTATATCAGCAGTTTTTGAAATATTCAGACCAGCCCGTCTGGCACAAACAACCATGCCACGTTCAAAGCCACTTAAATCCCCTTTCTTTGCCATTCTGATGCTTGGTTTGAACATCAACAAGTCGGCTTCACCATGTCTAGATGCCTAAATGCATTGCGTTGCTGTCATGCAACTGGTTGATTAGCAATTTATGTTACCAAGCAATTGAATAGGTGTACCTAATAAAGTGGTCAGTGAGTGTATAAAGTCTGGATTCCATTTGTAGCCCCCTCCTCCACACCCAAAAAAGACCCACAGCCACGTACCCATGTAAAAGGCGGTAGACTGCACAGCACTGCTGATTCAAACCGCGCACTTTTAGAGCCTTATCCAGGGAATCGTAGACTGTCATTCCAGGTCGGACGTTCACCTACAAGACGACAGGACAAAATCAAAATATAGAAAAAAAATTTGAAAAAATACATTCTGAACCCAATTGCATGCCAGCAGAAATAAAATGAGATTAACAAAGTACTACTCAGTGTTCTCTGTGATAGTCATCATTATCGTCATCACTATACAGGTATTTACATAGCGCCAACAGTTTATGCAGCTCTTTACATAGTAAAGGTAGACAGTACAGTTACAAAACAACTTAATACTAACTAGAGGATTAAGAAAAGAAACATATTTCACATTAAATGTTTGTTCACTTCAAAACACCCAAACTGCAAGTTAGGAAAGGTCTTCGTACCAGCTCCTGCTGCAAGCTTCTGTTACCAAGTATGAACCAAGGCAATTTTTCATTTGCCATTAATCATAACACAGAAAGATGAATATTGTTTGTAGTTTAGAGTTATAGGCTTCAAAAATATAATTTTATACATACAATACAATTAAAAATAAATTAAGATGAAGCAATGCAGTAAATTACAGAAACAACTGTTGATCTGCATGAAACTGCTGCAACCAATTACAATGTAAATGAAATAGTTACATTTTATTTATCAATGATCATTGTAACAAGCGGATACAGTGATCAAAAGGCCCTATCACACTTGGTCTAATGGGGTACATTAACCCATGTCAACACACGTTATTGAATGCTCTTTCAATGCACCACAACAGAAAAGAAAACGCACCTACACCACTTTCATCGCAATGCATGTATAAAGCTGGCCCTAAAGAACTACTGTCACAATTCTTGTACCCTTGACTGTCAAACTGACATGTCACAGAAAACAGTGGTGGGTCATTGTAAGATGCACTCAGGGCCATATTTAATATTGATTGGACCCTGGGCAAACCTTGTTTTGATTGCTAGAGGTTACAGCACATCATTACTGCTCACTGATTAGTTGCTGAAGGTTACAGCACTTCACCTCCTCTCTGCCTGAAAACCATGGACTGAGAAGTTGAGGGGACCCACCAACACACAGAAAACTTCTAGGGATCCTAGGACTCCTGGGATCAGTGGCAGTGCAGAGGAAGGGGAGGGGGGGTGATCAGTGGCAGTGCTGGAGGGTTGAAGGGATCAGTGGCAGTAGTGGGGGGATGGCATCAATGGCAGCGGTGGGGGTATGTGAGAAGTGGCAGTGCTAGGGGAATGGGATGAGTGACACTACTGGTTGGAGATGGGATTAGTGGCACTGCTTTGGGTGGATGGGATCAGTAGCAGTGCTGGAAGGGTATGGAAGGTGACCTTTCTACACCGACCACCGATGTTAGAGGGGATTTACACAGATGACCTATGTAAGGGGGGTGTTATACTAGCCACCAGTGTAAAGGCAATTTTGCACTTACCACCAACGTAAAGGGAAATTTACACTGACCACCAATGTAATGGGGAATTTGCAATGACCACCAATGTAATGAAGAATTTACACTGACAAACAATGTAAGCAATACATTTCTACACTGTAAAAAACCAATGTTGGTGAAGCGCTTCACATAAAGAACTAAATATATAAAGTACAATGATATAAAAATATAAAATGCATAAAAAGTGACCACACTGTATTGAAAGATACAAATGACTAGTGCCAAGTATTGTATATATAAAAGTGCTGAAGTGCAAGACAGGTCATGCATTTTCTTAGATCGTGAATGCAAAGTAAAAGTAATACACAATGACATTGCACACTCTAACTGAAAGTGACAGGTGCTCAGTATGAATATAAATGTTGGTTAAAGATAAAAATCCACAATAAAGTGCAATAACAAGTACTTGACATTTCATGTGCAAACAAACACCGCGATGTCAGTGCTTCAATTCTTCCCTCCAAACATGATGCGTGTTAGCATGCCACACGTGTATATCGTGATCCAAAAGTGGCTAAAGTGCCTCCTCACCTTAACCATGAGACCCCTAAGGGCCACAAAGCTTTAAGTAATAATGCTCCACCAGACTGGGGATCTCTGTTATATGCTCCTGTATACCCCTCAGTCTCCTCTGCCAAGTCACTTATGCCCTCAGATGGTAATACCCCCCAGATTATCACAAGGCCATAGAGAGGTAGACAAAGAGAGCATAGTGAAATACCATTTATTCCATATAGCAGATGAAAACAAGCCAAAAGAGAACACTCACAGTATTGCAGATCTCATACAGCTGGTCTCCCATGGGCTGTGGGTGTACTGCAAGGTGCTGGGTGTCCAAAGATGGCGTTGCTGGATGTGCGTAACCACGTCATACGCGTTACTCCACGATGTCACTATGGAGGCTCTCTGTCTACCTCTCTATGGCCTTGTGATAATCCTGGGGGTATTACCATCTGAGGGCATAAGTGACTTGGCAGAGGAGACTGCACTAGTGGTACTACAGGAGCATTATAACAGAGATCCCCAGTCTGGTGGAGCATTAAAACTTAAAGCATTGTGGCCCTTAGGGGTCTCATGGTTAAGGTGAGGAGGCACTTTAGCCACTTTTGGATCACGATATACACGTGTGGCATGCTAACACGCATCATGTTTGGAGGGAAGAATTGAAGCACTGACATCGCGGTGTTTGTTTGCACATAAAATGTCAAGCACTTGTTATTGCACTTTATTGTGCATTTTTATCTTTAACCAACATTTATATTCATACTGAGCACCTGTCACTTTCAGTTAGAGTGTGCAATGTCATTGTGTATTACTTTTACTTTGCATATATTGTATTTTGGCACGATCTAGTCAGCAAACGCATGACCTGTCTTGCACTCTCAGCACTTGGAACTTATATATTTTTTTGGGGGGGAATACTTAGCACTAGTCATTTGTATCTCTCAGTACAGCGTGGTCACTTTATATGCATTTTATATTTTTATATCATTGTACTTTTATATATTTAGTTCTTTATGTGAAGCGCTTCACCAGCATTGGTTTTTTATGTTATACATCCTGTGGTATTGGGAATAGGTGGTAGCAGCTTGCATATATTTGGAGTTTTGTTTGTTCATACCAGTGGAGCGCAGGGGGATTATTTTTTCATTTCTACACTGGCCACCAATGTAAGGGGGAAATTACAGTGACCACCAATTTAAGGGAGGAATCGACATTGACCACAAATGCAAGTTAGCATTTTTTAACGACTGCCAATTTAAAGAGGAATTTATATGCTGGCCACCAGCCATTAATTGTTAATGACAGCATCTGCTGACATGCACCAAAATTCACTATCTTGTGGCACTGTGTGGCTCTGTGATTTTTTTCCACATTTCTAGCACACAGAGGAGCCCACTGAAACAAATGGGATGCCCTATATGTCAGGTACACCTTTATCCACCCTATCAGTACACCTTTGCATCCTAAATTTCCTCTGCACCCCAAACCTCCCCCATCCTCTCCACTCCAACCTCCCCACCCACCTCAACCCTACATGTCACCTCTGCTCATTTTTGCACCCAACTTCCTTACCTCTGTACATCTCCTTCTTGCTCACCTGTGCACCCCAAACTGTACCTCCTTTTCTGCCTACCTCTGCTACGCACCCCATCCCTGACCTAACTGCATAACACCAGAACAAACCAGGATTTTTTTCCTGGCAACACACAGATGTTATGCACACGTACAGAAAGGTTTCTTCACTTTTGTGTGGCAAAAAAAAAAAAAAAGATTGACTGATGACTTCTTGTCTGTCAGATTATCTCTGTTTAACAAGAACATCTAAACCAGACATGGATGAAGCATAATAATAATATGGGTTTTTTCTCAACAAAACCAGATCTTTATTGAAATCATGCCTTGCAAATATATATATATATATTTATTAATTAAGTCTTATTTATGGCAAGGACTGTAATGGTGCATTTTAAAATCGGGATAGTTATCACAGACCCATTCTGATGACTAGCCTGCAAGACTACCTGCCTGCCTTCTAGATGCCACCACAGTCACCAAGGAAAAGATTTCCTTGGGTGGTTGCAAGTGCCAGATAAAGGCCACGAACCTTAGTAATAAAACTGCAAAAGAAGCCTGATGAGTTAATTTAGCCTCAGAGAGCCCCTATGTCATCCAAGGGTCAAACCCTCTTGCTGGTTGTTCATTGTGCAGCAGAATTCCTGATGGTCTGCATTCTATCATACTACGCAGTAACCACGTATGGGCTTGCCTCTAGACATCAAGATTAAGTAGTAATGTGTTGGGGCAAAACTAACATTTATTTTCGAGTTTCCGTTCCCATATTATAATAATTCAGATGTATACGCACTAATTTATTACAGCATTTTAATGAACCAAGGAACATATAATGATTTTTACAACAGAAAGGGATTGGAAGTGTTAGGCTGCAATTGTAATTATAAAGGCACGCTAGAATTCATCAAGCCCTGCAAAAATCAATACGTTTAAATTAAGAATTTCTTAAAAAGGACAATTGCTAACAAAGAAACTCAATAAAATGGACTCACCACTGTCCTTTGCTGGTTTGGAAGATACACTTTGACGGTGCCGCCAGTTCTGCTCTCCGACACTGGGGCTTCACTCTGTGATCCCAACCTGTGGCCATCATGCTGCCTGGGCCCCCGCAACCCGGGGCTGGGTAGCTCCAGGACTGCCGCTGACAACATCACCGCACTACCTTTACCAAGCTCCTGGGACAGTAAGCGCAGGGCGCCATTTGTCAGGTTCGCCGGAGGTGTATGAGACCGCTTCATTGGAACGCTGCAAACAAGGGACTGAGAATTAGAGACAGAATGACAAGAAGGTCTTCACGTTTTCCTTTGAAAAATCACTTTCCTTCTGTTTTCTCTTTCTCCCTGGTCTTCTGCTGCTTTTTCCTTGCAATCAAGCTGCATGTTCCAGAGAAAGGGAGACTGAGCAAGTGTTACTGTGCCATTTGGTGGAACAATACTGCAGCAGATGGGGAAGAGAGAGACCCACAGAACAGGAAAAGTGGGAGGGAAGAAAGCAAGGAAAATGTAGCAACAAGATCAAAGAAGAGAATAGGCTTAAAGGGAACCTGTCACAGAGGAAAATTAAACATATAACAACATTAAAACAAGGTGCCTACATTTAAATGTAATAAGTTCATCCTTTGTGTAGCCTGTCATGGAGATCGGACACGTCCACCTTCCAAAAGCCCTTGGGAAAATAGAGAGCCACTAAGGCTACAGAACATAGAATGCAATGTGGGCACCTCAAATAAGCTTTTCATTGGCTACTGTTGCTGTCAGTGGGCATGTCAGTTGAGGTGGAAATGGGGTTCCTAAGGCCCCATAGCATAGACCTGAACAATGGTCTGCCTAATCCACCCACAGATAGTGGCAGAAAAAGCAGCTAACCTCTGTGAGGGCATCCATGATCACGAAGACAGAATCTGTTTCACGTAAAAAAAAGCAATAGCAGAAAGGTAAAACACAAACGGCCCTCACAACATCTGGGACCAAGAGACAGACAATTTCTTAATTCAAAGGGAAGGCAGACACCACCTTCTGAAGAAAGGAAAGTAATGGTCCAAAAGGAACCTTGTCAAGGTGTAGAACCAAAAAGGGAGGTTTGGTATAGCATGTCATAGCCAGGTAAACTGAAAAGATGATTTGTATCTTAAAAATGTATCTGTCATGACAAACTTTATGAAATGTTTCTGTCAATGTATTTAGTATGGTTTCAAAAGGCCAGATCTACAATATTCCTAAGGGGAGGCATTTGCAGTAAGTACCCAGTTGAAATCCCAAGGAGAAAATGGAGGTCTAGCCAGGGGAGAAACATGCAATACACCTTGAATTAAAGTCCAAATAAACAAGTTGGGGGACAAGGGACACAACAACACTGCCAAGGCCAAGACCTGACCTTTAAGCATACTCAGACACAGCCAATGGTCCACTTCCTGTTAATAAAGCCAGAATCCCAGCCACTGAAAAAGAAAAAGAATGAATACACAAAGCCTCACAGAAAGAGAAGTAGGCTTTCCAGGTGTGCTGGTATATCTTCAGAGGTGTAGACGTTAGAGCCTTCAGTATCTTAGTAATCAATGAACAGGATTCAAGACTGAAGAGAATCCTTTCAGCTCCCATTCGATACAGAAGTTGAGGGAGGAGCTTAAGAGAAAATTCCCTGTTAAGTCTTACTAGTAACTAGTGGTGCACCGAAATGAAAATTCTGGTGCCGAAAACCAAAAATACAGGATGCATTTGGCCGAAAACTGAAATAGACATTTTTTAAAAATTTATATATTTTTCAAACGCAAACAAATACACTTTAACCACTAGCCTACAGGGCACTTATACCCCCTTCCTGCCCAGGCCAATTTCCAGCTTTCAGCGCTGTCACACTTTGAATGCGGTCATGCAACACTGTACCCATATGAAATTTTTATCTTTTTTTGTGACAGATAGAGCTTTCTTTTTGGTGGTATTTAATCACCTCTGGGTTTTTTATTTTTTTCTTAAACCAAAAACCACTGAAAATGTTGGAAAAAAAAAAAAAGTTTTTCTTAGTTGTTGTTATAAAATTGTGTAAATAAGTGTTTTTTTTCCTTCACTGATGTGCGCTAATGAGGCCGCAGTGATGGGCACTGATAGGCTGCACTGATGGACACTGATAGGTGGCACTGATGAGGAGGCACTGGTAGGTGGCACTGATGGGCATTGACAGGCATCACTGATGGGCACTGAAAGGCAGCACTGATATATGGCACTGATAGGTGTCACTGACAGGTGGCACTGACTGGCACTGTTAGGTGGCACTGATGCACACCACACTGATAGGCGACACTGACGGGCACTGATAGGTGCCACTGATGCACACTGATAGGCGGCACTGACTGGCACTAATAGGTGGCACTGATTAGCAGCACTGATAGGCAGCACTGATAGGTGGCACTGATGCACACCACACTGATAGGCGGCACTGACAGGAGGCAGTGATGCACACTGATAGGCGGCGCTGGCTGGCACTGACTGGCAGCACTGATAGGCAGCACTGATAGGTGGCACTGATGGGCACTGATATGTGGCATTGATGTGCACTGGTAGGCACTGATATGTGGCACTGATGTGGCACTGATAGGTACTGGCAGGTGGCATGGATGAGCACTGAGAGCTGGCACTGCTGGACACCACTGACAGGTGGCACTGCTGGGGCTACACTGATCATCAGGGCACACTGATCATCAGTGTACATGTCCCCTCCGAGGAATGCAGATTACCGGCTCTCCTCTCGAGCTGTCAGCGTGACAGCTCGTGAGGAGAGAAAAGTCGATAACCGGCATTTCTCTGTTTACATGCGATTAGCTGTGATTGGACACAGCTGATCACATGACCAAGCTCTTTCCTCTTTTCCGAGGGACACAGCACACCGCCGATCGCTGCGCGCTCGTGGAGCAGCGCATGCGCGGTGAGAATGGGAGGACGTCGAGAGAACCACCTTGCATCCGTCATTGGACTATATGGCGGGCGGGAGGCGGTTAATGATTAAAAATAAAAACACAATATACTGTACACCCCAATTTTTTGGTAAAATATAAAAGATGATGTTACGCCGAGTAAATAGATACCCAGCATGTCATGCTTTAAGATTGAGCACATACGTGGAGTGCCGTCAAACTACAGTATTTAAAAATCTCCATGGGTGACGCTTTAAAAATTTCTACAGGTTACCAATGTAAAATTACAGAGGTCTAATGCTAGAATTATTGCCCTTTTTGAAGAGATATGGGGTCATTATGACCCCACATCTCTCCTCTACAATGTAAAGCAATATATCAAGAAAAGCATTGATCTAGTGCGGGTGTCGGCAACCCGCGGCTCCGGAGCCGCATGCGGCTCTTTTTCACCTTTCCTGCGGCTCCGGAGCACACTGCCCACCAGGTGACAGGCAATAGGGTCGGCAAGCCGCGGCTCTTTTAATGCAGATCTTCTGTGTGCCGGGCGCCCGCTGGCAAACATTGGCTGTCAGGATGTAGGCGGGGCAGCCCGGATGTAGGCGGGGCAGCGTGACGAACTCCTCTCCTCTCACAGTCCGCCCTGAAGACCAGAACGGCGCGGGAACCCAGCGAGAGGAACGCGCGGAGCAAAGGTAAGTGAATTCACACAATATGGGGAATGAATTACTATAGGGGGGATGAATTACTATATGGGGGATGAATTACTATATGGGGGATGAATTACTATTGGGGGGATGAATTACTATAGGGGGGATGAATTACTATATGGGGGATGAATTACTATATGGGGGATGAATTACTATAGGGGGGATGAATTACTATGGGGGATGAATTACTATATGGGGGATGAATTACTATATGGGGGATGAATTTTCAGTTTTAAAAATGTTTCTCTCAAAATAAATTTCAATCGTGGTTTTGGCGAGATTTGGCTCAGTCGAAAAAAAAGGTTGCCCACCACTGACCTAAGGCTATGATTGTGATTATGACGATACACTGTGGCCCTGATTAACCCTTTGCTTACTGGGCCCTTAAACCCCCTTCATGACCAGAGCGTTTTTTGCAATATATGCAGTGTCGGATTTGTTTTAAATGTTGCAATGGTTTTGCGGCTTGCAGTCTTTTTTTCCCTCTCGGAAACGGGTCCAAGTGGCTCTTTATGTCTTAAAGGTTGCAGACCCCTGATCTAGTGCTTAAAAAAAAAAAAAAAAAAAAAGCCTTGTACACAAGGCGCCGGAACCGAAAGTGATTTTGCTCCGGTCCTCCAAAGGCATAGAGATGAGTGGAGGCCATCTTTCCTTCACTTATCTCTGTTCCCAGTGCCGGGATCGTTCGGTGGTTTCTCAGGTAGGGCTGAGAACCACCGAGTGGTGGCGGGTGTCGGCTAGCAGCGAGTGCCGGGGTTATTTTCATCACCTGTATCGGTGCTTATTTTCATATCGGCCAAAACGTTTAGGCTACCAAAGGTTCGGTGAATCCCTACTAGTAACAGTATTTTCAGAGATCTTCCAGGGCAGCAACCTGAGAGATGATTGGTTCCAGTCTCTACAGGAAACTAAAGCAGAACAGTTGACAACCCTGCCTACCCACCTTGTCCCTCAGTTAGGATGAAATAAGACCATCCCCACTGGTACAGAAGGGGAAAAAAAATCATTAATAGAATTAAATAACCACAATAAAAAAAAGGGTAAAAAGTAGGCTTGTTGACCTGAAATATACGTAAATAGACCTATCACTAGGACTAACAGGGAATTTCTCTATTCATCTTCCAGGACAGCAACCTGAGAAAGGAAACAAGAAAAAGGACAAGCCTACCTCAGGATGGGCCACTGCCAGATGAACTTCTCTCCTGATTGCATGGTCTGGGTAAAAGAGAACCTCCACTCCAAGGGTTGGGCAAAGGTATTAGGACCAGACCAAACATCCCTTCATAGATTAGCCCCCTAAAGCTCTCAACTTTTCAACCCATAATATAGAGATCTGGAAGAATCTGACTTTAAATAAAAACAGAAGGTACATGCAATACTTTAGGAATGAGGAAGAGGGAATTTGTCAGCCTGAAGGGGGCTTGGTAGATTGAAAAAACCTGAACAGATCGTACTGGAGGGAGAATTCCTGGGAATGTAGAAGAACAGGGCAGAGTGAAATAAATACAATGTCCTAGAAAAGAAGAGAAAAATAGAACTGCCTTCTGCTGTAAAAAAGCCTAGGCCCCAGACTTACGAAAATAAATAAATAATAAATTTAAAACAAAAAAAGAGGGTGGAGGTGCAGTCTCCA